CGGAGTCACCTTGATGGCACTGAGTTTGGCTTTGAGTTCAGGTACTGCAGGTTTCCCAGCTTAGCAAGGAGACCCCAGGCTTACAGGGCTAAGGTGACCTGCAGTTGGCCTCACTGGAGGGGTCCAGACTGTACCCCCTGACACTACTAGGTGGGGTGACGCCAGAATGGCCCAGGGTCCGAAGCCATGGCGGTGAGCCGGTGCTGTGGGGAGGGGCCGCTGGGGCAGTGGTGTCACCAGGTCTGGCGGGCATCACTCTTCACCCAGTGTGGTACTCAGCACACCCCTTCTCGTCACATCCAGCCAGGGTGTGAGCGGGTGGGTGGGGCACCTGCCGTTGGCTGGAGAGGAGAATCTGCCTGACCAGTGAGAGGGAGGAGCTCCGGAGGGTGGGGGGAGGGATGAACTGCAAGTTTGATGGGCCCCGAATGGGGCGAGACCACCAGCCCAGGGTGTCAGGAGGGGTGTGTGAAATCAACCCTCATGACCTGCCTGCCACACTCAGCTCTGGAACCCTGTTCCTGGGCTCCTGCCCCAGTGGCACCCTCCTCTCAGGGCTGGGTGTGATACTGAGGTTCCCCACCCAATTACCAGTAACAAGATGTTTTTTTAAATGAACTTCCTTTCTCCCCGAGCCCTTGAAGGAAACTGTATCTCCTATAAATCCAGAGGCAGAGCCAATGACCTGAAATACAAGGTAACCAACCGGTGCCGACTCAGCGACTCTATAGGACAGGGTAGAACTGTCTGCATATCTTAGACTAACTGTTTGCAGGAGTAAACAGTTCCGAGGAGCGGCTGGTGGTTTCCAACTGCTGACCTGCAGGTCTCAGCCCAGCGTGTAACCCCGAGGCCACCAGCCCTCCACAGGTCACTGGAAGGACCTTCCAAATAAAATGCAACAAGAAGAGGCATGTGATTCAAGCCAGATGGGGCTGCCGACATCCCGGAAGCCGGAGCCTGCTTCTCCTTCACTTAATTGGAGGTGGCATGGACCAGGCGGCCCTCGAGGCAGGCTGGGCCTGACGGGGCCTTCTCCAAGGAGAAGTGGAGGGTCATAATTGCCTCCACTTCTGTGCCGTGATCGTCACAGGATGACCCCAGGACCCCCGTCTGGGGAAGGCATCCCTGAGTTGGTACAGAAGTCTGGAAACTTCGGGGTCCAGCTCTGGCCTTGGGATGGGTGCTTCCATCTTGCCATCTATGAGAGGGGTGTAAGAACTGCCCCTGCTGCTCCTCCTGGGGTGACTACTATCCAGGGAGGACACGCCGAGCAGCTCCCTCCCCCCGCCCCGCAGCCGCACAGTGTGGCCCTTATCTGCCTGTGTGCAGCTGCACCAATCTGCATACCCACACTACCCCCAGGGCACAGCCCCTTGGGGCCCAGAAGGAGGCAGCACCCCCTTTCCAAGGCCAGGACAGACTGAGCTTCCCCGGGGCAGGGCCTGGACCAGATGCCACTTCCTTTCTGTCCCCTGCCACCATGGAGACTCGTGCCATGTGGGGCTGCCACTCAGAGGAGGGAAGGCTTGTCCATGGGACGGTGATTCACAAGGTCTTCCCGACAGAATGGCTGTAACTGCTCTTGAAAAATCATACACCTGAAAAAGGTTGGACTGGGAAAAGTCGGTATATAAGTCAGGAGCCCCAGTGGCAAACACAGGGTGAGCAGTTCAAAGCCACCAGCAATGCTGAGGGAGAAAGATGAGGCTGTCCCTGTCAAGATACAGAGCCTGGGAACCCTCAGGAGTGCGTCTGCCCAGTCCTGGAGGGTCACCGTGAGTTGGAATCGCCTTGGTGGCAGGGTCTTATTGGGTGTTATACATACCTGTACAGCAATTAACCCCAGACCACACGCACTGCCATCGAGCCATTGCTGACTCAGCCAACCCACAGGACCAGGGCGAGCTGCCCTGTGAGTTTCTGAGACTACAACTCATAGTAAGAACAGAAAGCCTCTCTCCCTCGGAGCAGCAGGTGGTTTCAAACCGCCGACCTGGTGGTTAGCTGCCCTGTGCATAACCACTATGCCACCAGGGCTCCCCCAACAACGAAAAGCAGACAGACAAAAAAGGGAATACTTGTCCATGGGCACCCCGAGGCTCAGGGGTGCAGGCCCAAATTCAGCGCTGACTGACCTGACAAGAGAGCATCGGGACGGGATGTAGGAGAGCCGCTGGGAAGCTCAGGCTGTCCGGAGGCACCCCGGGGGGCTTGCACCTGGCCAAACACAGCATACAAAGCTCCGTGAAGGTGTTAGGTGGGTGTGGACTGTGCTCCCGAAGAGGGAGCTGGGGGTCTGATGTCTTCATGCCCTTCCGGACAGAGCCACGGGAGACAGGATGGTGGGCCATGACCCACATCCGCCTGGTGATGGAGTAGGGACTCGCCTTGAGGCAGAGGGAGGTGCCGGAAGGCCGGATAAGCTGGAGGTACTATGCAAAGGCCTGGAGCTCCAGAGCCTGGCACAAGGAGGCCAGGGTCAGCCACCTAACTGGGCCAGACCTCGAACCAGAGGGCTCTGCCCCATCTCAGCCCCCACCTCCCGAGTCCTCACCGCAGGCTGAGCGGCACAGCAGCCCAGCTGCCTCGTGGCCTGGAGAGGAGCCAGAACCCTCATTATCCACCAGCCGGCTGCGTGACCTCGGCCAGCACACGCCCCCTCTCTGGGCCCTCAAGGCCCCGACACTGCAGCTCTGAGAGCCGATTTCTCGTCATTCATTTTCCGCTTCTTGGATTGAATTCTTGCAGCTCAGTTGCTCCCTGCGCCGCTGGAAACCCGTGGTGCTACTGCTGACGTACAGGGTGGCTGTCCGCCTGGCTTAGCCCCCTTCTCTTTTCGGCAGAGTTGGGGTGGGGGCCAGGGTTCCTGGCCTCCCTGGGCAGAGGGGCAGCCAGAGGGGTTAAGTGGCTGGCCTGAGGAGCACAGCGGGAAAGGGCTCTGTGTGGAGGGGGCAGGGCCAGCGGAAGAGGAAGTAACCGGGGATGATGACCCAGCACTGGGCCTCCTGGGCGGTCACCATCCAGCTCCCCTCCCCCAGTGTCCCCAGCACTCTGCCCATCCTCCCCACCCACTCCTTCCTCCTTCCTGGGAGGCTCAGCCCAGCCAGGGGGTGTCGGGGAGCTGCCCTGTCCAGTGGACACACAGCACACCCCTGGGCAGTGAGGCCAAGGTAGACTCATCCAGGTTGTGGGGTGGGGTGGCTGAATTTAGACTCTGCCCCTGTGCAGGGAAGATGCCTCCCGTCACTGGGCCTCCCCTCTGCTCTGAGGAACAGCAAGGCGGGGAGCCTGCAGGCAGCTGTACCAGACAAACCCCTAGGGAAGGGGCCTGATTGTGACCAGGAGAAATGAGGGGTCTCTCTTTCTCTCTGAGAGGTGGCTTGGCAACTTCTTGTTGCCTGCCCTGTCCCCAAAGGAGTCCCCTAACCAGTCTGCTCGCCTCTGGCCAGCCACGATGCCGTCATCCGGCTCTTGGCACTGTGTCCTTCACATCACGGAGATGAGAGCTGGATGCTCGGAGAGGGTGGGTGACTTGTGGAGTGTCACCCAGCAAGTGAAGGGGGCAGCTGGCGTAGGCCCGGGTCAGTCTTGGCCTCCATTTCCCTCGGGGCTGCTGCGCTGGGGATCATGGTCTACGCCTCATCGTGGGGGTGTGGGTGGCAGAGACTGTCTCCAGAGCCCGTGCAGGACTCCTGAGTCGTGTATCTGGAGTCTGTCATATGATGACGGCTAATAGAGGCTGCTGCTCAGGTACCCGGCTGTCTGGCCCATCTGTCACGCTGGCCACACTGGTGTCCCTCACCTCCTGGAGACCTGGCCCTGGGCCCTGTCTGTGCCCCGGGTGTTTGGCGGGCGTGTGTCTGCTAGGCCCAGGGGCAGGGGGATGGAGGAAGCCTCTGATCTCACTTGCCTCCTCCCGTCAGCTCTGGGCTGGGCCTGCACACACCGGACAGGACAGAGGAAGAGTCTGCTCTGGGCTCCTGCTGCAGAGGTGGTCCAGTCTAGGAAATCGAGGTGGGGGTGGGGGTGGCTGGGAGCAAAGGAGGAGTTCAACTCTAGATTGCAGACAGTGAGGGCCAGGGGTCACCCAGGGCATGCGTTAGTCTGGGGCCCAAAAGAGGGGTCCAGGCTAGACAAGGGGGCCATTGGTGGGAACTATACCACAGGAAAGACCACCAAGCTTGGGGTAGCCCTGAGATGGCCCTGGACAGGGAGGGGAGATCAGAGGCGAAGGAGGGGGCTGGCTTTAGTGACAGGCCCCTCTGAGGCCGGGTGACAGTTCCAGGGCAGGGCCTGTATCTAGGCTGAGGCCTTGGGGGCTGTGGTGTTGAGGGTTCAAATCTGGAGTGAGGGTGTCTGGGGCTTGTGGGGGAGTTAGGTCACGGGTTAAGGAGTGACGGGGGCATTTCTGTAGATGTGGGGGTGATTGTTCGAAGGGTGCTGTGCAGAAGGCAGAGGGTGGTGGTGGGGGTGGGAAAGGGGAGGACAGGAGCAGGTGACTGAATAGGACAGCTACAGGGTCCTCCAGGGGCAGGCATGGTGCCCACTAGACCAGCATCTGGAGGGCACATGGACGTGCTGCTGCCCCCCTGTTGGCGTTCCATGTGCCCCCAGCGGTGAGCTGCTCGGTCAGCAGCTGGTCTGCTCTAGGAAGACTGGCTCAACAGGGAGGCCAGTGGTCCTGGCCAGCTATGCCCAGGGCTGTGTGCTGGGCTTGTGGGCTGGTGCCACCTGTGGGCATCAAGAACTGGAGGGAATTCCTTGCCCTGCCCTGCCACGTACCAGCTGGGTGCCTCTGAGCAGGCCTCTGCCCATCTTTGCGCCTCCATTTCTCATCTGTGCAATGGGGGGAGGGGTGATGCCCACTTTTCAGGGGTGCAGGTGGGGAAGGCACACAGGGACTCGCCAGCCTGGTGTCCATGCAAAGCCAGCTGCCAATCCTCCATCACTGACAAGCCTCTTGTCTTCCTGCCCCCCGCCCCCCAGGGACCCCGGGAGCTGCCCACCACCCACCCAGCCCCTCAGTGCCTGGCCTCAGGCAGGCTCCCCTCCCCGGGCAGCGGCCGCCATGTTCTCATGCCTGACAACCTATGAGGGCCAGAGCTACTCGTCCCTGAAGCGAACCTGCCTGCGCAAGAAGGTGCTCTTTGAGGACCCCCACTTCCCGGCCACAGATGACTCGCTCTATTACGACAGCGCCCCCAGGCCCAGCGTCAAGTGGAAGAGACCCAAGGTCAGTGTCTGCCCCCTGGAGCTGGGGGATGGGGCGGCCGGGTGGGCAGGGTGTTTTGGCCTCTGAATCTGTAAACGGTCAGGTCATGGTTCCCGGAAGTAGGGTTTCCATGGAAACACAGCTGCCAGGGACCAAAGTTCCAGCTCTCCAGCCGAGCAAGCAGAGCTAATGGCCACTCGGGCTGGGCTGAGCCCGTCCCCACCCTCTGAACCGAGCCGGGCTTGACTTCCTGCCCCACAGCCCCCCAGTCCTGTCCGTACCCAGCAGGCCTGCCACACAGACACGATTTGGTTTTCCCCTCTACAGGGAGGTGGTCTGTGCCCCTTGTCCACCCTGTCCACTCATCGACGCCACTCAGCCCAGGCCTGCCCTTGAACAGCCTCCCAGTGAGACGTAGTCCCCTGTTGCTGCCAGGTCGACACTAACACCGCACTACCGCCACCTGCCCTCACAGCCAAGGCGGGGCTGTCTGTGCCGCCAGCCTTGGCATCTCTACCAGCCCTGGTGTCAGGCAGGTGCTCAGTGAGGCAGGCAGTCAAGCGGAGGAGACCTGTGGCAAGATTCTGGAAAGAAAAGGCTCAGAGAGGGCAGGGGGCCCACCCAGGATCACACAGCAAGGGGCCGCGGGACCCGGCCAGCCTCTTTCCAGACCCTCGGGTCTAAGCCACGCCCAGTGAGGGCAGGGCTGTGAGCACATGGAGTTAGAAGGGCAGCCAGCTCCAGTGTCCCCCGCCCTCCCCACACTCAAGGCCACACAAAGGCCCTTTTGAGACTGGCCTCCCCGACCCACTTGACAAAGGAGAAAGAGGAAGGCGTCAGGGAGGGGGGCCCCAAGAGGCAGAAATCTTCTGGCTGGACCCAGAGGCGCCTGGGAGTTCAGGAAAAGCCAGGCAGGGGTCAGAGATGCAGGTGCAGCTTACTGGGCTGAGTTCACAGGCACCAAGCCAAACTGGCCACCATCCCTTTGAGGCAGACGTTGAGGACACAGCAGAACTGCCCCCACAGGGCCTCCAGACGGCAGTCTTCTCCAAAGTCCCCTCCCCACCAGGGCCTGGTGCTGCATCACCCCGTCTGACCCCCTGAGGGCTGCATGCCTGGCACCTGGGTCACGCCGAGCCCCTGTCCACTCAGCCTTTCCTGGCAAACGCTGCCCACACCAGCCCTGAGACCCCGAGAAGCCTCTGGGATGTGTGAGGCCTGCCTCCCTAGGCCCCAGGCCCTGAGGATTGTCAGGCAGCCTAGCCGCTTCCGTGGGACCCCCTTCCACACTCTTTCCCAGTCCTGGCGTGGAGGACGGGCAGGGGGCAGGGGTCCTGGGCAGTGGTCTCCTGAAGCCTTCCTCTGAACCAGCCCCCCGCCCCCCTGCACAGCATCCTGTCTGCCGGGCCAAGCAGGCACAGGTAGTGGGCTCCCTCCTCTTTGCCCCTTCACACACACACACACACACACACACACACACACACACACACACACGGCAGGGTAAACACACACACTCACATGTCAGGGTACACACACCATCAGCCAGATGTGCCTGGGACACACACGCCAGGGTCAGGGCCAGGCAGGCGGCCGCAGGGGCACACTGCAAAGCCATGTGGCCCCCAGCCAGTGGGAATGGGGACAGTGCACGGGCCGGGTGGGGGCCGGTGGTGGTAGACTTGCGGCCAGGCCTCTCCCTCAGGCCTCTGTCCCCACCCCACAGCTCACGCACTGCGTCCCACTACTAGACAACTCCCGTTTCACACTGTCACTGATGAATCCTCATTGTCAACAGCCGATGACTGTTGCAAACCCCTCATGGTAATCATCAGGAACGTCACCTCCTGACCCTTGCTTGTCTCCTTACATTTCACAGTCATGTCATGTCCATGACTCACTCTGATCCCAAACCACGACTGGGAGGGCAGGGGGCTAAGCAGAGGTCCCTGCCCCATTTCCCTGTGAGGCATGGGGGTCCCGGGGGCAGTCAGGGTCAGGGTCACCGCTAGGCAGTGGTGGCCGAGGGATCAGGATCTACTGTCCCAGGTCCCCGTCCAGATCAATTCTCCCAGCAAGAGGGCAGCTCCCAACCTTGCAGACGTGTGTGTGTGTGGGGGAGGGGGGACTGCTGACTGCTCTTTACCACCCTGCTCCCCGAGACCTGCCTTTGTTGCCCTTCTGTAAATGGGAGGAGGAGTTCTTGCCACCAATTGATCTAGGATTTTGGCGGCTGAAGTGACTTCCACTGTCAGACCCTCAGGAGGCAGGTGACAAGGTTTATTTAGCGCTCCTCTCCTGTCCACCCTCTGCTGACTCTGCTAGACCCAGAGCTGGGACAGCCCATCTCTACGGACTCTGCATCGGGGACACACCTTGTCCACCTCGGTCCCCTCCCCAGGGCACCAGCTGCAGGCCCACACCCTCTGTCTCCTGCCCAGGTTCATGGCTGATTCTTTCTAGTTCAGTAAACCTACAGGGACCTCCCTCGACCTGATCAGGGAGGCCAGAGGGGAAGGGGACTGCCCAGGGGCTAACCTCCGGGGTGGGGGAGTGGCATTCCGAGGAAGTGACCAAGCCCCACCAGGTCCAGAGCTTAGCAGGGAGGGGCCACCCACTGCCTGCACCCAGCACTCTGTCACTTCCCGTCCTTGTTGGCAAGCCTGCATGTCACTTGGTGGGACCAGGAGGGAGCAAGCACAGAGGTCATACGGAGTGACATGCATGTGGGACCTCTCAGGATTTGTTGGAGTCGCCCCCTGCCCCATTCTCAGCCCCACACCCTAGGGAACCAGCGATTTCATGTTTGGGTTGGGTACCAATTGAAAGGTTGATGTTTGAACGCCCCAAGCAGCTCTGAAGAAGAAAGGTCTGGTGGTCTGCTTCTTCTGTATTGATGGCAGCCAAGAAGACCCCATGGGGCTTGCTCTAGTCTGTAACACACAGGTGGATGGGCCACGGATCAGAATCCACTGGATGGCAGCGTGTGTGTGTGTGTGTGTGTG